TGCAAAGATACTGTTCCTGTATAGTGCAGTTCTAGATTTTAATAAGTGTAACTGGTCACAACGACGTTGACTGGTTACTCGGTCAAAATTATTAAAATTGTTTTTAACGAACATACCAGTCTCATAGATGTATAATGAGGGGACCGTCAAAATTTTGAGGTCTTTAAAGAAAGTGTAGCAGCTGTCGGTAGACTGCAGATTACAAATAGCCCTAATGCATCTTTTTTGACACTTGAATACCATTTCTTTACCGGTTGCATTCCCCCAGAAAATTATTCCATATCTTAATGTTGATGCTACTAGACCATGGTATGCTGTCAACACTGTTTTTCGGTTTGCAGTTTTATTTAACATGTGAGAGCATAGGAATATTGATTTAACTTATTACACACCTTATCTATATGAACATTCCATTTCATTGTTTTCTGTATACTTAGTCCTAGAAATTTTGTTACATTTGTTTCATTAATTCTTTTTCCGCGATATTCTACAATTAAATTTTTGTATTGATCCATTCGCTGTTCAAATTTCATTATTGCCGTCTTTTCTAGGTTTATGATCAAATTATTATGTTTTAACCAATTTACAACAGATTCAATGTTAGCATTTATATCTGCTTCTAATGTTTCTAAGTCATCACCATCAAATAGTAAGGTACTGTCGTCTGCAAACATGGTCATTGGATATGTTGATGATGTTGGAAAGTCATTTATGTAAATAATAAACAGAGTCGGGCCAAGGACACTACCTTGTGGTACGCCGTAAGTAACAGTTCTCTGACCAGACCTATAAGTTACCTCGCTATCTTTGGTGATTCTACTGATAACTGTCATTTGCCGTCTGTTATGTAGGTAGGATTCAATTAGACTCAATACGTTTCCTCTAATTCCATATGCATTTAGTTTACTTAGGAGTATTTTATGATCAACGCGATCGAAAGCCTTTGTCATGTCCATGTAAAGTGCTACAGCTGGTAATTTCTTATCTACTTGACTGCTAACTTTATCTAGAAAGTCGTATATGGCCATATCAATGGACTTGTTCTTCCTGAAGCCTTTTTGATTGTCAACTAGTAAATTATTTTTTTCAAAATATGAAGTAATTTGATTATTAATTACTTTTTCGTAAATCTTAGAAAATATTGGTACCAGAGCAATAGGTCTGTAACAGGACATATTTTCTCTGTTGTCTTTCTTAAAAAGCGGTTTTATTATAGTAATTTTTAATTCACTGGGAAAAGTCCCACACTCTATGCTCAAATTAATAAGATAACTCAATATTGGTGCAATAATGATGGATACGTGTTTTATAATTTTAGTAGATATATCATCGTACCCAGTGCTAGCTGTGTTTTTGAGCGACATTACAATACGATGGATGTCAACCTGGTGAAGTAGGGGACATGAACATCGAAGTATTTTTATTATTATTAATCGTCATTTTATAAGTGTCAATATTGATATGGTCAGTTAATTTTACTTGATCTACAAAGAAGTCATTAAAAGCTTGTGCTATTGCGTCAGGATTAGTTAATAGTTTTTGATTACAGTCGATTTTCATGATATATTCATTTGGTATAGTGGTTTTGTTCCTACTGATGACTTTCCATGTGGCTTTCCCTAGATTCTGAGCTGTGCTGATAAATTTATTATTGTGTGCCCTCTGCGTAAGATTTATTACTTTTTTAAAACGGTTCGAGTGATTTTTTAAATTTCAGTTTATTTTGTTCATTAGGCAATCTACGGTACTTCCATAATAATTGTCTTTTCCTTTTGCTACAAATCCTAATACCGCGGCTTATCCATTTTGATTTTATTTTAGTACACATTTTAATTCTGATAATCGGAAAACATAAATTATAAAGCAATACAAACCACTCATAGAACAGCTTGAATGCCTCATTTGAGTCCGGTTCCTGATACACATCGGAAAAAGTAATGCTCTTAAGATAGTTTTTAAATTTATCTATGTTTTCCATAGAGTAGTCTCGTCTTGTGGTAAACCAGTGATCTAAACTGCATGTTTTTTTAACTGGGCACCGTAGAACTTGAGCTGTATGATCAGATACTGCTAGTTCTAAGACTTTACCCCTGGCTCCCCGCACATTATGGATTATATTTCTATGCATGTACCACTACTCAATCTAGTTGGTATTTTATATCGAACTTAAGATTGAAGCCTGTAATTAGATACTTAAATTGTGTAGAATTGTAAGTGTTTTTTAGTAGGTCGATATTGAAATCACCGCACAGTACCACCTTTCTATTTATATGAAATGAAACTGAACTTAAAAGATTATTTAGATTATTAAAAAATAGTTCAAGGTTTCTCTTTGAATTGTTGCTATGCGGGCTTCTGTATACACATATTACTATATGTTATGATCTGTAAGTTCGACTGAGCAACACTCAATTACATTTGGGACACTGTATCTTTCCATTGACTCCAAAACTCGATACTTAATTCCGTTTCGTATCATTATACAAGTACCACCATGTCTAGATTTTCGAGTGAAAAAGGTTACAAGATTAAAGTTAGGAATAAACAGCAGATTTACATCATCCAAAATCATATTATGCTCGGAGAAACACAGTACATCAATAGTTTCACCCAAATCACACAACTCATCCAATGCAACAGTAAACATAGCAGATTTATTTAAAAGCCCGTTTATATTTTGGTGCATTATGGTCACATTGTTATACACGAAAGTTATGGTTTTGAGGAGAGTTATTTTTATTTTTGAAACATCCTATGACAGGTTCAGAATGAGCTACTGACATCTCAGTTATAGTTAGCAATACATTTTGTAAAACGTTACGCATTCCATTATTATTTATTGTTCTTTCTACTTTTGAAAACATTGTGTAATCGTATTCTAAACTCAGATTAGTATCAAAACCAAATGCATAGTCAAACGTTTGTAAATCCAAGTGTAACAAATTATTAAAAGTTTCTATACGCCAGTTATACATCGAAGAATAATTACTCAATTTAAAAGTGGGTACACATATAATAATATTTGTATGCTGTACTGTAAGTAGTGCCTCTCTCAGTTTGACAATTATGTCCACATAATTTTTTGTTCGTTTAAAATCCTCTTCTCCGATCAAAATAATGCAGTAATCTTCAAAATTATAATCTATCAGTTTTTTATTAATATCCCTAACAAGATGCACAGTATCACAGTTAGGCGAGACATAATGACAGATTTGATAGTTATGGAATGTTTCCTGAGCCAGAGACAGTACCTTATTAGTTTTGTTTGTGCTAATGATGCATAACTTCTTTGTGGTGTCAAACACGACATTACGGTCACCTTTGCTCTCGTGCGGACCCGTGTATCGCGAGCTAGTGCCCAAATTACTTGCGATGGTTTGTATTGATTCCACCCGCAAGTTTTCCTTAATTTGGCCTCTTTTTGGTTTGTTTTGTTGACTGCTGCGAGGTGTTGATGTTTGTGAGCCTTTTCTGGGTGTGTGCGCTTCACTTGATAGTTTTTTAGTGGCTTTCTTTATAACCTCGTTTATAGTCGTCAATTCGCCCAATGACTTCCTAAGTTCAGTATTTTCGATGTTTAGATTTTTTTATTTCTTCATGTGCTGAATTGAGTTGTGATGTTAACTGTTCTATTTGACTTTGAAGTCCTTGTACATATTCGTTACTTTCATCCTTTGATATGTTTGGTAAGCTACTTGTGCTGCCATCTATTGTCGAACTATTGAGACTATTTTCTTTCGACTCATCATTCAAAGAACGCGTTCTTGTTTTTCGAAACGTTATATTTTCAAAGAAGTTCATTTTTGAAGAAATAAGTAATTTACGATGTAATAAATACCACAAAAAGAAATTCTGTTAGTGGGAATCGAGCCCGCAACTTCACAATCTCAGTACTCTGAGGTGAACGTCATAACCATTACGCCACTCGTACATTAACTAGTGTGGTGAAATTAATCTTGTATTTATTTATTATGAACAAACATGTCAGAGATACCTTCAATAAGTTGTTTTGAAGGTAATTTAAAAATAATTAAAATATACTATAATTAATGGTGTTTGTTTACAATAATATTGAAGTTAGTCACAGGGGTTGTCGTCAAGACGTTTGTACACATATTATTTGTCCACAGTTACTTCCTTTTGGTTCTTGAACACTGCGTAATTGGTTTAGCTTTTAAAGTGGAGAACAGATGTTTACGTTTCGCGACAACAGTACATATCTCTAAGACGCTTATAGATATTCACTTGTCAATAATGTCACTTGTTTATCATCACTAATAGTTCATATATTATCGAATTAAGCACTTAAACTGAAGTATTTAAATTAAATTTAATAATAATATACGGAGCTTAATGTTGATAGTACGGTGCGAGTACCCTCACTCACAAAGTGGGTGTTAAATTGTAGGTACAGTGGCATTATTCGCCGTAATGTGCACCTCCTTTTACCTCTTCGGGGATAAAAGGCGTGATGTTATGTTATGTGTAAAAAGTAGTGGAGTATAGTAAAAAATATCATAATATTATTCCATAGCTAAATGTATATGCTTTTAATTCCTGTCAGTATTTGGGTATACTTAATATTAAACTGATACTAATGGCCATCAATGATAGATTTTAATCTAGTTAGGATACCACCAGAAGAAACAGAAGTTACAGAATACAGTATCTTTAGTAATAATCCTAAAACATTCTAGGAACATTCCTCTTCCATAGAGGTAAATAAATTAAAATAATATTTACATGTGCATCCTGGCTAAAGTCATAGGACATTTTTATCAATTACAGAAACGTTGCCCCTCATTAGGATTTTCTCCTGTGTCGTAGGTGCGTCTACAAATATACAAGATCACATACACATGATACCCAGACCCGGAACAATCTGTGGATCATATAAAGAGTTGTTCCGTGGGGGAATCGAACCCGTGGCACGTAGCGCGGCGGAGTTGCCGAACCACCGCGCCAACCATGCAGTCAACATTGCTTAACATACTTCTAAATCACTGACAATCTCTGTTTAAAATTTGATAAATTAATCTGAACACTGTGAGCAAAGGGTTAAAGAGCAAAATGGTAGTGACGATGCCAGTGAAGGCGATAAATCCATTTGTGACTCGTTCGTTCATCCAGTCTCTGAAGGCTTCTTTGTTGAATCCATGGCAGATAGCAGCTGAGGAGCAGGAAAAGCAAGCCATCCCGATTATGACGTGCACCAGTTTGTTAACCTTGGCAGGGTATAATCTTCGTAATGGGTAAGCCCATAGAGCTAGTAGTCCGGTCAGCATTGTCAATGGCGTTATGGTTAGGCAAACCAAACCTGGAAATGATAAAGTAGCGAATTAATTTGGTACTGTAGACTACTAGCTTCTGCACGCGGCTTCGACCGCTTTCCCGTCGGATAAAAAGTAGCCTATATGTTATTCCAGTATATATTATAGTCGTGGTGGCACGGAGGTTTAAGACGCCCACCTCTCATACATGAAGTTCGAGAGGTTCGAAACCTACCAAAAGCAAGTACCACTGTGACATTTCCGAATTAAATGTACTTTCTAAGATTATCTAGACACCACTGACAAATGGTGAAGTAAAACATCGTGAGGAAACCTCGGCTTATAATGTCTAATTATAAGTTTGTAATAGCCAACCCGCATTGATCAAGCGCGGTGGTGATTAATGCTCAATGCCTTCTCCGTGTGAGAAGAGGCTTTGCTCAGCAGTGGGCAATGATATAGCCAGATGATATAGGCTGTTGATAATGATATGTTATTCCAGATCATAATCTACCCTTGTTCCAAATTTTTTCTCGATTCCTTCAGCCGTTTTAACGTGAAAGAGAAATAAACAACAACATACACTTGTATCTTCATACATTTTTGCATTTATATGTAATACTAGCTTTTACCCGCGGCTTCGCTCGCGTCACAAAAGAATAAAAAGTAGCCTATGTATGTGACATATACCAATACACACAGCGCCATCTATACCAATACTTTTGTTTTTCCTAGGGAATATCAATTTTTTCCGGGTTAAAAAGTACCATATTATTTAATCCGGACTTTTAACTTTACGTCTGCAAAAATTCAAAGCAATCGGTTGAGTAGTTACGGCGTGAAGGTGGAACAAACAAACAAACAAACAAACTCACTTTCAGATTTATAATATTAGTAAGGAAGTAAGGATAAGGATTAGTAGTAAGTTAAGACTGCCTCGTTGGCCGAGTGGCGACTGCCGGGCAATGGGTATCGTGTTCGATTCCCAGGTCGGGCAAAGTATTACTGGGTTTTAAAAATTCTCAGTAGTAGCACGGAGTCTGGAATTGTGCCCGATATATGGCAATAGGCTCCTATTACATGGGACTCGAAACATAAATAGTGAAAAACGGGTGTTACATTGTACAGTGGCATAATGTGCACCTCTGCCTACATCTTCGGGGATAAAAGGCGTGATGCTATCTATGTAGTGAACAAGTGAAACAAACAAGTGAATTTATTTCTGCAAATAGGCTACAAGGCAGCACTTTTACACGTCAATTTTATCAAGCGAACGATGAGGTCGACATTTCCTAACTGACTACTCTGAGAAGAAATGCCGAAACAAACTCAGAGGTCTGTCTCTTTTAAAGTCCAGACAATATGTATAATAGATTATGTGTGAGAACCGTGCAAGTTCTTTCTGTAGTGGCCTTTTGAGGAAAGAACCACAACAGCTTGAGCGGACCCGTTCTGAAGGCAGTACGCATGTGTCGGTTTACAGTCGGCTCTATTAACAGGTGAGGCTGACTGATTCGACGAACAATACCAACCTAAAGAACATTTGCGTGGGTCGCACAAATACTCAAACCGTCAGAATATGGATAATTAGAAAAGAAATGGTGAGGCAAAGTCTCGCACGGTCCTAGCACTAACAATTGTAAAGGAAAAAGCAAATGTCAAGTTAGAACAATATATGTAAAACAATGTCAAGAAATGTAACTATATGTTACCAACATGTCAATATGACCTGTGTGGACGTTACAGCAGCTTATTCCCAAGCCAGACTATCATCTAGGTAGTCTTTAATTTTATAAAAAGCTTTACTATAAAATTTATCTTTAATGACATTTTTAAATTTATTTAGACTCAAATTTTGGATATGGCTGGGAATTTTATTGTAAAAGCGTATACTCTGACATCTAAACGAACCACTTATTTTCTTTAGTCTAGTAGTGGGAACAACATATTTGTCTTTATTTCTCGTGTTGATATTATGTATATCACTATGCTTTTTAAATAAATTTTTGTTTTTATGAGCATATACTACATTTTCATAAATGTATTGAGAGGCAACAGTCATTATATTAATTTCTTTAAATAGTTCCCTGAGAGAGTACCTCGGACTAAGATTATAAATTGATCGAATGGCCCTCTTCTGCAAAACAAAGATAGATTGAATGTCAGCAGCATTCCCCCATAGGAGAATACCATATGACATGACACTATGAAAATAACTAAAGTATACTAATCGCGCTGTATCTACATCGGTTAACTTTCTAATTTTTTTAACGGCATATGCTGCAGAACTGAGCCTTTTCGATAACTTATCTATATGTGGAGCCCACTGGAGCTTAGCGTCTAGGGTTATACCTAAAAAGACAGTAGAATCTACAGGGCTCAACTCCTCACCCTTAATGAGCACGCTGGTTTTAACATGTCCAACATTTGGTGTTGTAAATTTAATGCATTTAGTTTTAGTTCCATTTAGTAATAGGTTGTTGGCACTAAACCAGCGTTCTATTTCCGAGAGAGCATTGTTCACATTATCAATGACTAATTGTCTACGTTTAAGTTTAAATAATAACGAAGTGTCATCCGCAAACAGTACTATCCCGTGTTTATCCCGTACGAGGTAAGGTAAGTCATTTATATATATAAGAAACAAAAAAGGGCCGAGAATTGACCCCTGCGGAACCCCCATCCTGACAACAGACCCGGCGGAGACTTTTCCGTTTATCTCGACTCTCTGAATCCTGTTACTCAAGTATGAGGTAAGAAGATCCAGAGATTTACCTCTTATTCCATAATGGGATAGCTTCCTGATCAATGTGTCATGAAGGACACAATCGAACGCCTTGGATAAGTCACAAAAAAATGCCCAAAGCATCGCTTAATGTATGTTATGTAGTACAAGATTTTACAATGATCAAGATGTGTATGCGGTGGTGTTTGTCTGTTTGTATTTATTGTGGTGTCGATAAATCAATGATCGGTCCTATATAGTCAATGAGTCGAAGGTTTAGTTGTGAGAAGCTTATTTTAAACTGTCAAACACCGCGAGGACACATCGGTTTCCTCGCGGTATTTGCGGTGGTTGTGTGCTATTGTTCTTTAATTGTGTCTATAATGACGGTACTCAAAGAGTTAAATGTAAAGAAGTAAATGCTACAGGGAGCACAGCGCCTTCTGAATATACATATTTAGAATGTATGTTGAAAAAGAAAGCACCATTTGTGTTACTGCCGTTTATCGCAGCTTAAAAATTAATTGCATAACAACTGACATAACTTTATCTGAATTATATAACGCGTTGGAAATTTATCTGTCTTCGCAATGATAAACACTTGATATCGATAGGATTCAGTCGTAGGTTATTAGCAAAACAAAGTATTGCATCGCTAATTGGTTTGTTGGAGTAATAATAAAAACAAAGCATTATTACAGAGCTTATTGATTTTCAAAATAAGCGCTATCGCTTATTTTGAAAAATTATATAAAAATTATTATAAAATTCAAGACAAACGTGAAAGCTACTATTAGCTTTCACGTTTGTCTTGAATTTTATAATTCCACTTATGAACCTCTATCGAGGTACTTTATTTATTTTATAATTCATTTACATACGAACAGCTTAGAGGACAATACATTCAGAAAAAAGTACATAGGTGCTATATATGCCTGTTGAAATTTATTCCAGTAGATTTGGGACAGGATAACTAATTAAGATATGACAGTATGTAACAAAAATGAAAATCACTACGTATTATAAAACGAAGTCGCCATCCGCCGTCAGTCTGTTTCTATGTATTCTTAGATCTTTGAAACTACGCAACGGACTTTGATGCGGTTTTTAATAGATAGAGTGATTCTTATGGAATATTTATGTGTATAATACATGCATATGGCACTCGAGCGAGGCCGGGGCGGGTCACTAGTCAATAATACGAAAGAAAATGAGACTAAAGTTCGTAAGTCATAACACACTAAACTCAGCTCCGACACGGCTCCGGCACTTTCTGCTTAGGAAACAATACAAAAAGGTTGCAAGCACACTGTCGGTGCACCGATGGCTCGCTTACAGCTTTTTTATATTGACGTTATGAAATATATCATACGACATACGATTTAAAGTTCATACTTAAATGACAAGTTAATTGCTGGGTTGGAGTCGTGTCGGAGCCGTGCTTGTTAAATGTGTTCATACAGGTCATCTGTATTGTTGATTCTCCCTTTCATATCTATTACTTTTTTTATATACTGTATCTATGTCTTGTTGTTATTATTTTTTTTTAGTTACCTTTAAATCCGAACAAAGTAATTACTATAATATTACTAGCGACCCGCCCCGGCTTCGCACGGGTGCAAATATGTATGCATTATACATAAACCTTCCTTAAGAATCCCTCATATAAAAAAAAACCATAGCAGCGCCATCTATTGATTACTTACTCAACCCAGTCGAAAGGTATCGACATCTGTTAGAATTCATTTGGAGTTAACAGATAATTGTGACTGTCAAATAATAACAGACAAATAATCCTTACTAATATTATAAACCTGAAAGTGAGTTTGTTTGTTTGTTCCACCTTCACGCCGTAACTACTCAACCGATTGCTTTGAATTTTTGCAGACGTAAAGTTAGAAGTCCGGATTAAATAATAGGGTACTTTTTAACCCGGAAAAAATGATATTCCCGAGGAAAAACAAAAGTATTGGTATAGATGGCGCTGTGTGTATTAATATATGTCACATAGGCTACTTTTTATTCTTTTGAGACGCGAGCGAAGCCGCGGGTAAAAGCTAGTTAGCAATAAATTAAAATTGCGACTATAATTTGAAATTTAAACTATCCTATCTCTCAAGTTGGAGCGTAACTACACATGGTGTGCAAATTTTATTATAATCGGTTAAATGGTTTAGGTGTCCATTGAGGACAAACATTGTGACACGAGCTTTATATATATAAAGATAAATAGACATAAAAAAATCAATTTATTTTGGTATGATAAATCAATTACCTAGTCGTCCATGTGGAGTTTGGAAGTTCTTTTTCTTAGAAGACATGATGATCACGCTGCCAATGACTCCCATAGCGTAACCACTCAGATGTAGGACCCAATGTGCTCGTATTTTGTTACTTTTCCTCAGTGGTGAAGACCAGGTGTTGTAAGGACATAAGCTTAGCAGCGCTTGCGATGTCAGGACTTGGTACTGAAAAGAGATTAAAGTGGATTTGTTAGGAGAAATAGTGAATTAGTTTTACGTGGCAGGGACAGACAGGGCTTGGCGCGAATGGGTCGGCCTCACAGAAAACCGACGTGCAAGTGAGGTTACCGGAGCGGCCTCCGGTAACCTCACTTGCACGTCCTAAAAGTACCTACGTAGCCGGCGCTACGTAGGTACTTTTAACTCCTCTAGTCTGCTCGTTGGTCGCCTTATATCATAAAGAAGATGTTGGAGATGCTATTGTAAGAAATTGGACTGTTTATTAATATTTGAAAGGTGTAGAGATAACAATAATACTAATACTCATCATAATATTAAAGTAGTTACTATTTAAGTAGTTACTACTCATTACACGTCGCGTATAATAGTTTTTGACGAGTTTTCATTATTGTAATGCATACAATAGCTCATTAAATAGCTATATGATTAAAATATGATTAAAACTCAATAAGATTTGTCGTATCACAATTAGGATTAACATGATTTAAGATATAGGTAATCATTTTTTAATAATATAAATGTATACCTCACATATTAAGCAGATAGTGTTTAATTTGTTGTTTATTAGAATGCAATATATAAGTATGATGCGAAACGTCGTGGTGGCCGGGTGGTTAAAGACGCTCGCTTCTTATTCACAAGGGTGCGAGTTCGAAACCTTGTGTGACTTTTTCCGAGTTATATGTACTTTCTACGATTATTTAGACGCTACTGACAAACGGCAAAGGAAAACACCTTGAGAAAATCTGTGTTTGAAATCGCCAACCCACATTGAGCAAGCGTGGTGATTAAAGCTCAAACCTTCTCCGTGTGAGAAGAGGTCTTTGGTCAGGAGTGGCTACTTATATGTTGTTGATGTGATGTGATGATGTGATCATGCGAATAACAACTTTCGAATGTCGAAAAACGCGACCGAGGAAAAAGGGTCTCGATTATTGGGTGTTCTTTTTTCTGTATTTCTTCAGTGGAACGCAAAGAGGTACAATTTCTGGCAGTAGGTAGGCCACGGTAACCACTTACCGTCAGGTGGGTCGTGTGCTTTTCTTGCCACCGTCGTGGTATAAAAAAATGTTACTTTGTCTTCCCTTTCGTGTTAAAAGGCATGATATGCTGCTAGCTGCTATCATATAAACGCTAATGATGACTTGGAGTTTCTAACATAAAATGCACGTGTTGAGTAATATGTAAATAGATAAGTATTATCATAAGTGAAAAGCGTACATTGGAATCAATTATTACATGATAGATAACAATATCACCTGAGCTAGAAGTTCATATTTTAACATTTTTACAATTTAGTTAGAAGCGATTCTTAAATGAAAAGAAATAAAATTCATAATAAGACTGATGACTGTTGAGGATGCGAAAGAGATATGTAAGAATCGTAGCAATTTGTGTTTCATAGTCTCTACCTCACGCTTGTCTCCGATGGGGGTGTGAGGGTATCGGAGGAAGGCGTGAGGTTATGTACCTTGTATGTATGTGTGATTCTTTATTATACAATAATCAGTTTGGGAATCATATTATTTCTAGACGATTTTTGGATATTTACATGTATAGGTAAGTGCGTCATAATAACACAATTGTGTCTAAAGTGCGTGTTTAAAAATAATTATGTTATTTATTGAATGGAATGATTTAGATGGATATCGTATTTCATTAACGATATTTTCAGAATTTAATGCAGTTTTATCAGTGTGATAAAGTATTGAATATATAACAAAATATTTGTAATGAGCTTGACAATAAAATTACAAAAGCGGTTACTAATGTTTACTTCTATTTTGATATTAATCTAAGATATAAATTTTCTGTCACCACAAAACGTGGTCAAAAATTTCGAACAAATAAAATACATAAAAGAAGTTGCGTTCATTTTTGTATGTTTATAATTTAAATAATATTGTTTTATTACACAAACATGCATTTAATTGCACGCAGAAACGATGTTCAATAAAAAAACTGTGTACTGTATATTTATGTACATTAATTTGTAGTAAAATAATAACAGTAAAAGCTTACCGCAGGTACACAAATCAGGATATGGTGCATTATAGCCTCCGTGTCTCCATCTTCAGTCTGGAAGTTCTGGAGCACTGCAAACAGCATGGGAACCCCCATCGTGATTCCTACCAACATATGCACAAACACGTTAAAAGAAAACAATATAGTTTTCAAGATATCATTCTCTTCGGTTATAGCCGGCATTTTGATTCAATTTAACTTATATAACTCATGAACATAGACACCGTGTTTGTCTATACACATAGACACGCAGTTTTAAATTCAAAGCCATCGTTTTTCCAACACGCACTTTCCTCGAACCCACTGATTTGTCAATAAAGTTATTTATAGATAAAATGTTGATACTAATGAAAAGATAATATTTCTTTTTATCAGTTCATGCTTCATGATTAGGTTCGTTATGTACATGAAGTAGTAGTTGCCAAACATTTCCGAGTATTAATGCATGAAATAATCGCAGTTAAAGGCTTAATCAGTTTCAGGTTAACATGAAAAATGTTGGGTAGGTACTGAGTTTAGTTCCTGGTTTATAATTTTATAGCAGATACAGATAGTATAATTACTCGTATGCTACAAAGATAATAATTTAAGTAATCCACCATACTAGATTAGATACTCATTTGTTTTTGTAAATAGTCTGATGATGATTACACATTGCGTTGTCTGGTGATTAGTATAATTATTAAACTCCGTTTAAAAATCGACTTCAAACCCCATCCTTTTTCGAAGTCCGTAAATTAATATACTAAAACTGTACTCCCCAAAGTGTGAGAACCATTTTTCTGAAAACCGCATCAAAATCGGTTAAGTCGTTCACGAGATAATCGCACACAAACACGTACATACAGGATAAAATGAGAAAGTCTTTGTATTTGACGTCGATTAAAAAATATACATTAAAGGTTTTTCCGAGGTAAATTAAAAGCTTTATGATTAGAACTGTTGTGCAAACCACACTTACTCTATTTCGATTTGAACCTATGCCTACCTGTGTTTATGACTAACCGTTAACAGTAAGATAAGATCATTTTGAAATCTAATTGTGATTGATAATATCTTTAGTTTTTAGGCTAAGGCCGCGCTACGGTTTTTTCCCGCGAGCGTAAACTAACTTAATCGCTAAGACGCGCGCATTACAGTTACACACCGCGATACCACCAGCGATATTTTTAGTCTTAACTCCTAATACCGTGTTATCTATAAACTGAAACTTTGTTTTCTTGTTTCACAACCATAAACAGTTAAAAACCGGCATTTTGACAAGCATGTATTATATAGTACTGCTTGGTTTCTCCACATAAAATCTGCGAACACGATGATTCATAAGCAAAAAGTGATGCTTCGGCACGAATGGGCCGGCTCGAACGGAGTGATACCACGGCCTCACAGAAAACCTGAAGCAACGCAAAACCAACGCTTGCGTTGTGTTTCGTCGTCTGAGTAAGGTTACCGGAGGCCTAGTTCCTTCTCCCCTTCCCCAATCTCCCCAATCCTTCGGGGATTTCCCTAACAATCCTCAAACTCCTAATCCCCAAAAGGCCGGTAACGTAATTGTAACGCTTCTGGTGTTCCAGGTGTCCATGGGCGACGCCGATTGCTTATCATCAGGTGATCCGTCTGCTCGTTTACGTACGATATGCCATAAAAAAATACACATACGTTCAGAGTAGACAATGATGTAGAACTCTTTATACGGTATTACCCCAAGACCGTTAGCATATTCGAGTGTTTGGGAATCGATCAAATTGTACATAACCCTCAATTAATATCAGTCATGTTGAGTGAGGTTTGAAAGGTTCATTGAAATGCAGGTCAAGTGTGGTTTGCATATTTAACGCTCACTGTTTTGGTTCTAAGTAATAGAGTTTAAGCCTCTTAGAGTGTGCTGATGGGGTAACTGATAAGATGTAGCGATAATGGTAGGGGTGCTTGATTTTCTGTCCCAATTTTAATGGAACTTTCGAGTTGTGTATTAGCGAGCAGTTTTAGAAAGTTGGAGTAAATTTTGGTTGATTTTTAAACCAGGTTAACTACTAATAGTAGGTATATTTATCACTCCATGCGCAAAGAGGCAGTATGTCTCGTTTCTCACTACATCTTCTCACTATATCTATATCTTACATAACGGTTTCGTAGTTCGACAAAAATAGAATAAAACTAGAGTGCGTGCAGAAATAGTGTAGCAACTTTTGTGTTTGGGTTCAGTACAATACACATTTCAATAAACGATACTATACTTTATTTTTTTGGTTTTTCTACTCCTCTTATAATATCTTCTGATTCATTACGTTGCGTAAACCAAGACAGTTATTCACGTCTCTGGGACGCACCGGATTTTAATGTTCCGGTGTTTTCATGGCTGTATCTACTGTAGATCCTGGCTTACAGGAGTTGTAGCGGTTTTCGGAGATTGTAGCGGGCTTGACCCAATAAAAACATTACGTTACTATTTCCATTAATAAATTTAATACAGTTGAAATTATTGGTATGTACGTCCTTGCTCTCGCTTCCTTCTATCTCTTGACTCGGTCTAGTGCCTGAAATTGAGAGTCATTAGAAGGGTATAGGTCTTATTGCCAATGGAAATGTATGGGCAGACCATTTCTGCATTAGGTTTGTAGTGTGTTTGCAATAAATTGTTTGTCTCAACTAAAGTCGAATTATCTTGGTACATTAATTAAATGCGTTGATTATGTTAATTCATTGAGTAGTTGTAGACACTTTTAAGTGCTATTTGAAGAACTTTACATCGGAAACCATTGGGTATAGATGTTTTATCTCACAAGCACGGGTCCTCCATACTTGTGTGGGTAAATGTACATACACATTGTCTTTGTTTGCGTACGCTCGGGAACCCCCAGTTTAGGCCGGCCTGCCAATGAATGAGCATGCTGCGAGTTACGCACACAAACGCGCGTGTATATACGCACTGCAACTACAGCTATGGCTCACCCGCGATCCTGAGATAAAATAACTATACCGAAAAATATCATAGGTTATACCTATGACAATGAATAGTCTAATATAAGTAATAATCCTCGAATATTTTTTCCCAATTTTGAGTTTTCGACTCGTAAAATGCACATGAGATTATACAAGCAACAATTTAAAACCTTTAACTACTATTCCACTGATGCGTCAGTCGAAAAGTTTCAGTTAGTCTTATCACGACTATATACACACCTACAAAGGTAATGTACCTGTTCGTATCAATCAATAACCTCATAGCTATCTAAGATTTCACAAATACAAAGAATTCGATATCTACAGTTAAAGTGTTGTAAACAGTTATCTATATATCTATGACTTCCTCGTTGGTACCTATAGGAGTATAGTTCCTCACTAGAATCTGCAAAGCAAGTGTCTTTTTAATTTTGAATCTCGAATTGTGAATATAGTTGTAGTTTTCTTAATTCTCATCCTGGATTAGACGAAACTACCAATTATTACATGGGATGGTTATGACTTACGAATGTTAAGCGGTATAATGTAATAAGTGCCTGTCTACCCTTTCAGGAAATAAAACATGCAATGATATGTTATGAGCAAGTTAGATACATTAATCCCAAATTAGGAGACGTTATTAATATGTTACAGGCCCAAATATAAAGGTGTGCACACATTAAAATTTACAGCGCGGGGTATACTAGCCAATGTTCTTGTTTGCGAATGTTTTCCATAATGAAATGACGCACGTTCTCGAGCGAGGTCCAGGGCATATAATAAACCGGCATCGGTCAGCACAATTAAGGGGTCCCATTTGGACCTTTGCTAATGGAATTAAATCCAATTAGATTTTAGGGTTACGAGGTGAAGTTTGCCGACGGTAAACAAATGGCTTTCTATTAGGGTCTACACCTGCTGTTTGGGCTATTTGTCCACAGATAAATGTTGCTGCTCGGTTTGACGTTTTTGTCATTAATTAGCTTTATCTTAATCAGTACTCGTCCTGTTATTGTTTTGGGTGCTTGCTTACATTAATTTTGTTCGATATAACACGTTTATGGAAATTGTAGGGATATAGTAATTATCTGATCAAGTACTGAATACTTTTACACGTCCTATTCTTAGTTGTCGGATTTTACTTATATTAATAGTGGTCGGAAATAAATGGGATGAAAGTTCAATAATGAACTTTAGAACGAAGGTTTTCAAAAGTTAAGAAACCGTATTGGGACTTATAGACTGAATCCCAACTTCAAACTAAAGTTGCAATCTAGTTTTCCAAGTTCCCCACTATTCCCTTGTTAGATTAAGACAGAGGTCCGAACGAAGTAGGTACGTACACAAATGTGGAACATATGTGTTACATGGAAAGTTTTTCCTCCATATAATGAGTTGGTAGGGAGGCGCTGACGACTGTAGACACATCGTTACGTAGTTGCCGAACATCGGCAGCACATCGGTATGACGGTCGCAACTTTTTCTTAAGACAAACATGACTGGATAAAATCAATCAGAATCCATCTCACGAGTATCTCAGATCAAACACGCCAAGTGTTCCGAACTTGTTTGGCTTGGAGTGTGCTGGTTGCAGCATATTCGATAAAATCCATGAAAGTTCCCCTTGCGAGAACATTTTCTCTTGCTACAAGGTTTCTTGCTATGTGCGGTTTTCGATCAAAGTTTTCCGTTTCATCGTCTCCAGACAAGAAGGAGTTTACGACCGTAGGCATCTCTCCGCAAAATGCCATGTCTGGGAACACGACAATTTGTGATTTATGGACATTTTTATGTTGAATCTTACACAGATTTTTAGGTTCAAATAAAATTCTTCGCCCTGTTTGTTCGATTTAAAATTCTGATTTGTTCGCTTATGAATTGAGTACCTATTTCAAAATAGGAATATTAAATTTCACTATCACACAAAGCTTTTAACTGATGTTTTTTGACGTATTTATTAAAGAATTCGTCATTAATTTAATTTTCATTAAGCTCTATTAAAATTGTGTTTTTTTATGTAAACGTACTTACTGCAGAAGTTTTGTATCTGTGGTTATAAGATATGAAATGAAAATGAAAATCCTTCTATGAAATGTTAGCAAAATTTGTGGTAAAACAATGACTGTATGCCTCCTTCCATTCCATTACACGTTCAAACAGTTATAAACACAGAAAGTAATTTACGATCAGCATTCCCTTGATCCAGAGGCGAAAAATTCAATAACATAGAGACATTTGTT